CAGCTGATTTTTTGTATTTTTAGTAGAGACGGGGTTTCACTATGTTGACCAGGATGGTCTCGATCTCTTAACCTCGTGATCCACCCGCCTCAGCCTCCCAAAGTGCTGGGATTACAGGCATGAGCCACCGCACCCGGCAAGATAGAATTTCTTAGGATGAGGGAGACATGAAACTTTTCTTAGGAAAATAAAAGCATTTCTACAAAAGAGAAAGATTTAAAAGGAAATATACATGTATGGTCTCTAGGAGGAATCTCTCTTACATAAAAATATTTAGTCATTAGTGACTATTTAAGGGAAAAGAATTAGCCATGTTTGAGATAACTTCCTACCCTATACATTTCTCTCTGCCCTGTACTCAAGGCAACTACACTGATGGGAACCACACGTTCCCAACTTGACTTCAAACATCCAATCCCATGGAAATGTCCTTACCTGCCCAGTTATTATGCCCTTTGAAGACTAGTTTGAACTAAGAAACACAGAAAATATATGCAGGGAGAGTGGTACTTGGAAGTCTACGTCCAGTCAGAATTAGTGAGGTCATTTCCCCATGTGGACAATGATGAATAAACAGAGAAACTTGGTCTTCAGAGAGAGGCAGAAGCTCAGAGAAAAGACATGGTAAAAAGAATATGTGGCCTGAGAGCGAGAAAGAGAAATGGAGAAAATCGCTTCTCACTCACAACTCACCATCCTGTTTCCAGTGCCAGCTCCCATAAGGCCAAGCTACACTTCACATTTATGACATGCCCATAAACCCTTTAATCAACCACTTATGTGTGAGAAGTGAATGCATTTCTTTTCTTACAACTCAACAATTTTGACTATAAAATGCAGTTTCTTTTCTGACATTTTTAGGACATCCGGAAAACTTCCAATATAAAGCTACGCAAATAAATTGTAAATGTTTAGTCACAAAGCTATAAACCTTAATCATGAGCAGGCGGGTGGCATGGCAACCACAATGAACTTTACTTATGGAGCGCAATAAGCTTGTTGCAGCATTTTTTTCCATTTGTAAAGAGGTCAGTCACTTAGACTGCTCCTGAATACTTCATGTGATTCTGCTGTATGCTTCATTGCACAAATAAATCTCATACTTCAGTCAATGAAGGAGGCAGCAGTAAATTGTGATTTTTACCATCATACACATCCAGGCTCCCAGATTTTCCAAATCTATTTCTTAGCTCATAATCCCCCTTTCTGTCTCATCTCTTTTCTGAATTATTACACTCCCCCTCTCCAAACTTCATGGGAAATCATCTATTCTAGTTTGACAGCCTGTAATAATGGAAAAGTAAAAAAATCTCACCCTCCTACGTTTCTGGGCATTGTTAGCCAGCCAGCCTCCTAACCCTGGCACAGCTGCTAATCCTACATTTGTGTACCCAGATTTCACTTGGCACCTCAGTTATCCCCTTTCAGAATGCTGTTTTCACCCTCATGCAGCCCTTCCTACTGGGGGTGGCCTACTTCCAACTTCACAGGTCAATAAACAAGTGGACGGATTAGCACAATGTTTTGCTGGAGTATCTCAGTCTCATTCATCCCTTCCCATCTGCACCTCTTTTTCCATCTAGCTCTGATGCCCAACTACTCCTGGACTCAGTTCCCCGGGTAACAGTTGTTGCCTGGTGACTAGAGCTCTTGAGAAAAGAGGAATAAGTTGAAGGAGGGACCCAAAAAAGAAAACAAAGCTATAAGTGACTTAAGGACAGAGATTATGTCTACCTTGCCCATATTATGCCCTCTGAAACTAGCACAGTGCCTGGCATATACAGGTATTTAGGAAATATTGGTAAACAAATGAACTACAAAAAAACCAGAATAACAAATCACTCTACCTACACCCAACTACTTCCCATTCTCTCCCAAGTTAAACCTTGCAAAAAGACCCAGGCTCATTATTTCATCTTGCTTAACCTAATTCAATTTCAAATATCACAGGAAACTGTAATCCTCATTTATTTAAAAAATAAAAATTAAAAATTAAAAAGATTAGTCCATTTTACTTACTAAAGGTAACTTTCTTTTAATAGTCTCCTCCAAAATGTTTTTCTGGGGATCTTTTAAAATGTTACTTATTTTCTATGACAATCATCTTACACAAAAAATAATAGATGTGTAACTTTAATAATAATAAATCAGCATACATATTAATCATAAATCATATAATGTTATAAAAACATAAAAATATGAACTTACATGTTTGGATAAGTTAGGGCTCTTTGAATCAACATCATACCTAAAAGATTGAAATATAAAACTCAAATTACTTCCACAAAATACAGCCAGAGAAAAACACCAGTATTTTCCAAAACACATAAATTATATAAAAATGAAATCCAAAATAATACCAATAGGAAGAAAGACTTAGCAAATTTAAAAGTTTCACATAACCTGTGGCTTACTGCCAATGGTAGAATTCATGATCCTTGAGTTCTTTCATTTCTAAAGACCTAACAAGTCTTAATATTTTCTCATAATCAATTCTGCTGTTTGATAAGTTTAAACTTTCTCTTTTCTGTGCATCAGTATCCTAGTACTATTCAACTTACTTCAAAAGTCCTTAAAAACTGAAAAGCCCTCTTCTCTAGACATCATTTAAAAGGGCAACATGAGGGATCCTTGAGGTAATAGAAATGTTCTATATGTTGCCAGGATAAATGTCAATATCCTGTTTGTGATATTGCAAGATATTGCTACTGAGGGAACCTAGGTAAAGGATACACACGTCTCTCTGTATAAGTTCTGTATTATTTTTTACAACTGCCTATGTATGAGTGTATGTTTATCTCAAAATAAAATATTTTACTTTAAAAAATCAAATTAATTAATAAACAGATCCTGATAACAGGCTGTCCTTAGCATACATTTTAATTCTTAATATCTTAAATGCTATTGTTAAATTGGCTGGAGTAATGAGACATTATTTTCCCTAATCAGAGGACTTAAAACTTACATTTTATGGAAACAAAAATATATTTCATGAGACTATCATATGTTCTGGTTTTAACCAGTTGGTACTGGAAATTAATCAGTTCTTGGAGAGATTCTAGAATAAGATCATTCATCATCACTTTATTGCCTGGCACTACAGAGGCTGTAGAAGTGGAGAGGACACCGATAGTCGAAATTACCTTCCATTTGCCAAATTCTTGTATAAGAAAATATTTGTACTGACTACAGACTGTCTCCCAAATCATACTCATTTCACATTTCTTGTGAATAGCTTCCTACCAAAAATTAATTGCCTTTTTAAAGGTTAATTAAAGTCTCCTGTCTCACATAACAAGAAAGTTTTCACAATTAAAGAAAGCATAAAAGTTCACTGAGTATATGGATACTGGGGAGAAGGGCATTCACTCACTAGCAAAGAATGTATACCATAAACTACCTTTAAAACTGCAATGGCTCTGGGCAGTAATCACCCAAGGATACTAAGACTTTGAGGTAAAAGAAAAAGGACTTTTTTTTTTTTTTTTTTGAGATGGAGTTTCGCTCTTGTTGCCCAAGCTGGAGTGCAATGGCAAGATCTTGGCTCACCACAACCTCCACCTCCCAGGTTGAAGCAATTCTCCTGCCTCAGCCTCCTGAGTAGCTGGAATTATAGACATGTGCTACCACGCCTGGCTAATTTTGTATTTTTAGTAGAGACTGGGTTTCTCCATGTTGGTCAGGCTGGTCTCCAACTCCTGACCTCAGGTGATCTGCTTGCCTTGACCTCCCAAAGTGCTAGGGTTACAGACGTGAGCCACCGTTCCCAGCCAGGACAAAGACTTCCCTAATGAATAGATCAGACAGACAGCACCTAAACCCATGGATCAATCTTAGCATCACTCCAACTGATGGGATGTGAGAGATAACACACAGAGCCACTCTACAGAGATGGAGTTTCTTGCCTCACCTTCTCTTTTAAAAAATATTCTGATTCTCATCAACAGATAGCTGGTATTAAGAAGGGGGAGGAGACTATTATTGAATACAGGAGACACAGGACAAAAATACAATGTGTGACTCTTGTTTGGAGCCTCACTTAAACAAACTAATTGTTAGACATTTTTAAGACTATCAGAGAAACTTTCAACTGGTTGGAAAGCTAGCTGCCATTAAGTACTTATTTGGCCTAAGGTTGGAGAATAGCAAACAGGAGGTCATATATAAGCATCCTTATCCATGAGAGCTTTATTTTGAAGTATTGGTAGGTGAAATTATAACAATCTGTAGGGGACCAGGCCCAGTGGCTCACACCTGTAATCCCAGCACTTTGGGAAGCCAAGGAGGGTGGATCATGAGGTCAGGAGTTCAAGACCAGCCTGACCAACATGGTGAAACCCCATCTCCACTAAAAATGCAAAGCTGGGTGTGGTGGTGTGCACCTGTAACCCCAGCTACTCAGACCGCTGAGGCAGGAGAATCGCTTGAACCTAGGATGCGGAGGTTGCAGTGAGCCAAGATCATGCCACTGCACTCCAGTGTGGGTGACAGAGCGAGACTCAGTCTCAAGATAAATAAATAAATAAATAGTCTGAAGGGAATAAACAAATCAAATTGGCAATATGCATATGCTACTTTTGTATATGCTTAAAAATGTCCACAATAAAATATTTAGAGCTTTTGCTGTCTTCATCAAAATAGTCTCTCCTCTAGAAGTCCTGTGGCTTCCTTTCCATAAGGAGAAGCAGAAAGATGAAGGATTAAATGCAGAGAATATAACTTATTTTCAATAAGGAGGAAGTTATTTTTTAAATAAGGAGGAAGTTGTCTCTCTTCCAACAGCACATACTCATTATGACCTGTTTACCTATGTAAATGAATTTATTTTCATAATTTTATAATTAAATTTTACAATGGCAAAAAAAAAAAAAGGCAAGATGCAAAAATCTGCGTCAGAAGAATTACAGATTACTCTCCTTCTCATCAAGGCATTGTGAGCACTTTCAAAAGCTACAGCCTGGAATTGTAAAACAGAAAATTGCCAACGTCTACTGTAGAACTAAAGTTGCTAGTACAAAAAAAAAATGTCTTTTATTCAAGAAATGTTTCTTATGTGAGAAAATTCTTTTAAAGATAAGATTGAAATTAGCAACTTAATGTCAGAATTAAACATAGCTGTGCTAACTCCTTCTCAAAAATCAACTCGAAACTATCTTCTAAAAAGAACTAAGTATGGACTGGGGAGAAAGGACATCAAATGTTCAATTAAAAAGTAAAAGGAAAATATTTTCATCACAAAAAACTTAAGTATCTTCAAATACCATCCTCTTTCACTGTATTTTACAAAGCTTTTTTAATGCTATTATCTCATAGGTAATAGACATCACATCCCTGAATACAATATGTTAGATTATAAAGCATTAGAAATTACCATTTTCTTTTCTTTTTTTTTTTTTTGGATAGAGTCTCACTCTGTCGCCTAGGCTGGAGTGCACTGGTGCGAGCTCGGCTCACTGCAGGCTCACTGAAACCTCTACTTCCCAGGTTCAAGCAATTCTTCTGCCTCAGCCTCCAGTGTAGCTGGGATCACATAGGTACCAGCCACCATACCCAGCTAATTTTTGCATTTTTAGTAGAGATGGGGTTTCACCATGTTAGCCAGGCTGGTTTTTTTGAACTACTGATCTCAAGTAATCCGCCCCCCTCAGCCTCCCAAAGTGCTGGGATTACATGCGTGAGCCACCACGCCTGGCCTAAAATTACCATCTTTCTTTTAAAACAATTTTTCTTCTAACTTTTCTAAACATATCAAGACTTCTCTAGTCCTCACTCTCACAGGTCATAACATAAACACTACATCCTAACTGGTTACAATGTAAACATGTAGCTGTGTATCTGTTAGTGAGTTCCATACTTTCTTTAAGGAAGAGAGAATATATGATCATATAGGAAGCTTGGTAGTTTCTCCTAAGATGATGCATCCACTGTGCCTGAATTTGGTAACAAATTTTGTAAACAACTTCATCCGGCCATTGAAACCTTATTACTACAGTAAAAAATTGGTAGTAGCTGGCTTGGGTGCCTCTAAAGGATTACATTTTTGATTCAAGAGTAACAGATGATGGGAATTTTTCTTGTATTTCTGGAATTCCAACTAAGGCCCAAAGAGAAAAAAAAATGTGATCGTCCTTAGCTCAGAGCTACTGAGTCAATCACATAAGGGTTGCATACTTTCTCCCCAAAGCTCAGGGGACCAGTCCACAGCCAGGTGATGAACACGTTATTCGTAAGTGAGGACTTTTCCCTCTCTGTTGGGGGGCAGAAGGGAGGTTCTTTCCACTCCCCAAAGCCAAGTAAAGTATGGCTCCAAAATCTGGGATGCCTGCAAGAAGGAGAGTGCAGCATCCGGCTCATCAGTAAGACACAGAGTCCTGCTGCAAGTCCACCCTGGGGCAGTCGAGGGAAGGGAAACTCACTGGGAAGTTCTAGAAAGTGCTCTCTGCGAGATGAAAAACATAGATCAATGTCCTTTTTAGCTCTTCCTCCATCAGGACAAGACCAGCAGGTGCTTAAAATGCGTCCCCTGAGGCTGACCCCACACAAAGTCTAGGTTTTGGGGATGGTATGAGACCCACGTCTCTGCCTCCCAACACTGCCTACCCTTTTGTATTCCCACCTCTCTTCCGTCCGGCAAGGAGCTGGGCGGGAGCTCCAGCTGAAGGGAAAGAAAGTGAAAAGTCTTAAATTAAGTTTGAGATTAAAGTTTTAAAATAAAAAGTCCTTAACAATTAACAGAGCAAGATGCTTCTAAGAAACTAAAGTAACTGAAAAGGCATGAAATTAGACTTTGACATGGTTAAGGGAGCCCTTGACCAATCAGAAAAACCAGAGTTCACATGGTGTTGGGAAAACTACTGGAAGAAAAAAAAAAAAAAACAAACGTATTTTCCCTCTAAGTTTTCAGATTCATCTAAAATATTTTACAATAACATTCATTATACGTTTCTTAATTATTACATTTTATTTATCAAGAAAGAAAATAATTCTCTGGGTAAATCATATCTAGACTCAGGAATCCCTTTTCAGTATTCTGGTCTGAATGGAAAAAAACAAATGAGAAGTGTAATTTCTAAATTCTCCTATATCTGGCACACACTATGAAGTGATAAAGCTATACACACTTCCTGCTCAAACACATTTTTGAGCTACTCTACCAATAATAAAGTTTTCATGACAACAAAGTGAATTTAAGAACATGTATTATCATCAGTGTGATAATTAAAATAAAATCAATAAATGTCAAAGTTTATGACTTTCTCTGTGATATATAAACAGCTTGATGACAGAAACCATGTCTCTTGAATGAATAAGTACATACTGGATCAAAAAGGCAAGGGAATTTTAGGATTCATAGCTGATAAATTAATCTTGAAAATATATCTCAGACATATCATAGTAACAATAATAAAAATTAACATGGGTTAACTATTATATTACTTACAAGAATATGGGTGAGTGGTAGCAGAAATACCCTGTCTCTATCTCTTTCTCTCTCATTGCCATTATAATTATTTAAGCACTGATCTTTTTTTTAAGTTTATAAAAGCCATTTCTAAAACCTCTTATAATATACAGTTTAGGTTAAATATGTTCAAAGCTTCTTTTTAAATTTTTTTAGAATCTTATAAAATCCATAGGCTTAAGTAAATCCAAAACAATTCTGAAAACCATTTACATCTACTGTTGGTCAAGTTACACTAGCGCATCTTTCAGCATGCTGTTCCCTCAAGGAACTATGTTACTCCAATGAAAATTGATCACACAACATGGGACCATTTTTGTCATACCCAACTAAAACAGAGTCAGGGCTGAAAGGGCAGCAGAGCCATGGGGAAAATCACTCAGGAGTCACCAACACCCAATACCTCAAGGAGCTGCTGTGATTTTGAGACAAGTGTAGCCTAGTAATTGCCATCTCTTACCAATCAGAAATCACCAGCCTCTGTCAGGCACAACCAGCACCAGTAAACTTTCTTTCAAAACAACCTATGTCATTTCTTTCCTTTCCCAATGAAACCTGAACCTTTCCTTTTGTTCTCTAAGCACACCAGAATCCATTCTGGTATGTGTGTGTACGTGTCTAAACTGCAATTCTAATTATTGTGTATTATTACCAAATAAACCCTTTTCTTAGAGATTCATCTCTGTATATATTTACTTAAGGTTGATATAGCCAATACGTCAGAATATTTGCAGTAATTCTCTGGGTGGCAGAGGTTGGGACTACTGCTAATTTGTATTGCCTACTTTATGCCTTATTTTCCAATTTTTTTTTTTTACCATGAATATATGTTTCTTTTACTACGAATAACACATTGCTAAGATAAATTTTAAAAACCAATCACAGGTGTAATATACACAACTAGTGAGCTATTACACTATTTCCACATATATTTATGTAGATATCCTAAGAGATCACAATAAAAATAAAAATAATAATAATAAGCCTGTTTTTCAGGTTAAAGGTTATATGTGAGTATTCTAAAAAATGGAAAATTAAAAGGAATTAAAGTGATAGCAAAGATGCCACATGAACTAAGAGGTTAGACTTGTTACTCTTCTTGATAATCTTCTGCAGGTAACCCTTTCTAGCCCTAATTGTTTGAATTTTTCAGCAACCATACAAAATGGAGATGCTCTTTGAACTGAATTTCTGCAATTAACCAAATACATGCAAAAGGTAAAACGATACTTATTTAATTCCATTTTGCAATATGCTTTCACACTTCAAACATTACACTGTTTCTGTAAAAATTGCTTCAACTTCAATTAGGAAGTTGAGGAAGTTAAAATACATTCATTTACTTAACATTAATATATGTTACTTTACATTTTCCTGTCGCGCTGAAATAAATGTTCCTGGAACAGACAAGTTACGAGTATCAGGTAATGAATGAAGAGCAGGACATGGATCTAAAAATTAGAGCTAAATAACTGACAAGGAGCTCAGGGAAGGAGCTCAGGAGAGTAACAAAGCTTACAGAATCTCTGATGTTGAAATCAAAATAAAATATAGAGATGAATCTCTAAATTAAACATTTCATTGGGAATCACAGAATTGCAATTCGGGGCATATACACAGACCACGGTGGTCTTCATTTAATATGTACAAAAAAACAAAGAGAGGTTTGAGAGATTTATTAGAAAGAGAAGTGCTATATATTGTTGTCAAAGAAAACTCATTGGCACTAGAGAAACATTTGGGACCTCGCAAAAGTGGCGATTGGTGAGTGATGGTGGTAGATAAAACTAGTCTTAGAGTCATGACAGGTCATAATTGGTCTTTAGGATTATAGCAGACAGTTTCGGCAACTGCCCTTGTAGAAAATTCAATTCATGGAGCAGGTGCTGTTATTGCTTTTTCCTCCTGCCCTCTTGACTCTGATTTGGTTGGGTATGACACAAATGACCCAATTCATATAATCAACTTTCACACCAAGTTGATTTCAAAGATTTAAAACCAGAAAGTGAGCATCCTGTCCACATCCTATAATCTTAAAAATTAAGTCTGAGTAATTTGTCCTCTGAAAATGCAAAGTGTATATAAATATATATTACAAAAAGATTTGCAACCAAGGAAACTCACTGCAGCATATATGTAGTTGGAAAAATGGAACCAGCCAAATGCCCATCAGTAAGTGTTTGGTTAAATAAATGACAGTTCTTTTGAACAAAAGAAATTATAATCTTTAAAATGAATGTGATATATGTATAGTTAGTGGCATAAAAGGATATCTGCAAAATACAAGGTGAAGGAAAATATATTTATTGCAATTCCTGTATGCATATGTATATGCTTAAAGAAAGAAAGATTTCCCAGCATATACATTGAATGATTTGCAGGTTTGGGAGGCGGGTGGGCTTTTTTGTATTAGGATTACAGGAAACTTTCATTTTAAATATCTGTATCAGTTAAAGTTTGTAATAAATATTTATTACTTTTAACAGTAAAAACAATGGAGATGAATGAGAAAGGAAGAAAAAGAAAGAAAAAACAGAGAGGGAACAAGGAATCATAAATGAAATAGAGACTGGTTTTACTTATAAAGATAAATCTGGGATTAAGGAGAAAAAATCAAGAGTCCCATGACGGTGTAAAAGAAAATTTTTAAGCAATTGCTAAGAAGGCCCAGAATAATGGGAGAATTCAACCACACAGTACATGATTTATATCTGTTTTTGAATGGCAACACCACGTGCAGCCTCTTACAATAAACATAATCAGGAAGTCATTACATTCCATTTCAGTTTCTCTTCTTACGAGCCTCACTGTTATTATTTGGAAAGGGGTTTCTAAAAAATAAAAACCAAATGTGGATGTAATAAATTTTGTTTGATAAATATGACAAATAGTACTCCTGAAGAAAGAAGCTAGGATGCTTTTTAAACACAAACACCTGCAGGTTATTTTACTGTGTATGTTTAAGAGGAAAATGAGAAAGATCATTAACAGTAAAGAGCTCTTAGTTTTTACATTATGAAGCAAATTATGACTTTTTACAATCAGATATTGATAGCTCCTGTTATAAAAAAGTATTTATAAATTGTAAAAGTATGGTACATCATGATTTTTTCAGCTATTTAAGACACCTATCTTTTTAGTGTTCATAAACTTCCCTTAATTATTTTAATATTTTAAGCATACTTTACCCACCTTGCCAAAACAGATTTCCTTTTAACCATATCCAGATACTTCAACAACCACTGCAGTTCACTTCTGTGGAACAAAATCTCTTTAGTAATATAAACAGACTGACTCTAGGTTCTCTGTGGCCAGGAAGTTGGATTTGACAATAATGCTTTAATATGCCAGATTCAGTATCAAAGTAACAAGAATACTTAAAATATTTAAAATGCTAACTCCATTATCCTGGCCCTTGCAAAAATACAAGTCTACCAAGGGATGAAAGGAAGCCATAGTTAGGCAGATATCCATGTGCTATGCTAAGAAGCTGCTGAGACAAACTTAAAGATCTGAGAGACATCAGCCATGGGAGTAGATATGATAACTTTGGAGTATACATAGAACTTGTAGGAAATCCACTGAAGCATGGGACAGCTGGAAAGAACGTCCACATACACCGTCCTGCATGGCTAAACTGCTCAATTATTCATTCAACATTTATTCAGACCTACAAAATGCAGAGCAGGGGGCTTGCTTGGGCCATATTCTGAACAGAATTATCTGGTTTCCTGCCAATATAACCTAGTACTCAGTGCAACCATAGTACGTTATTTATATTACGATAGTAATATTGTCTTTAAAAATCAAATTTTTCTAAATGCAAATTTTAGTAGAACTTACAAGTCAAAACGAAGATTTTCTCTTTCTTCAAAAAAGTAGTCCAAAATAAACTTTCTTACAAAATCAGGGTTTAAAGTATTATCAATTACTTCAGTTCTTCCAAACTGTGGAAAGAGAGAGAATTTAAAATTAAACTCTGTATGGCTTCTTATTAAAAGTACAGTACGTAACATCACACAGTTCCTTTAAAAAATAAGCAATAAATATTCAAATCATAGGAATGTGTTTAGAGATCAAATCAGCTTTCTTATTTATTCAGGGAAATCAGAAAATAAGCCCTGAGGAGTTCATTCAAAAATCAGCTTCTCCCGAAAATTCATATGACAAACAATAATGTTTCTCCCTCTCCTCTCCCTACTTGACTGTTAAATCCTCTTTTAATGAAAAGAAGCTATTTCTACCTAAAATTTAAACATATTATAAATTATTTTCCTAACCTTGTATATAAGAAGGCCAGGCAATACATATTCTTATAATTGAAGAGATTAGAGTATTCATAACCCTCTTCCTCTTTTTATACAAAACAGCCCTATATACAATACAGTTTATTAGCCATGTTTTGGGGAGAATGCTCTGAAAATCTCCTACTCACATATGTCACAACAATCCATTGTTTCTGATTAATCATGTTTTAATTCTTACTATATCTAGACAGCTAAAATAAGACCTATTATTCTTGCGTGTTTTTAAGCAATGTGCTGCGCTTTTGCTTAGAAAAACTAAGTTTCTCCATCTTAGGGCAAATGGAAAACAGGAAAAAATATTCCACTTCTAGTCCTCCCTCCCTTCAATGTGAAGGAAGGCCACTAGGCACTTCTCCAAAAGAACACAAATATTAACTTTACATCTCTTTTCTGTCCTTGGCTTACATTTTTCCCTTCCAACTGCCATGGAATTCTAATGAGAGAATTTTAACCTTAGTTCTGAGCAACATTAGGCAACGAAGCATGCTGTCTTATCAAAGAACCAACTTCTATTAAAGTTCAAAGAAATATTATCTTTTTAATAGGATAATGGAAGAACTGTGTTAATCCATTAAAATGTGAAGCTTTCTTAAATTGTAATAATAAAACTATAGTACAAAATATTGATGACACAGGATTTACTAAGGCTACTGTCAACTGACCACCCCTAAAAAAAAACAAATTTTCAGAGGCCTATACCATTGGACAATGTTTTATATCATAGACCAATTATCATACAGAGAAATTATAACCCAGGTCACTGGGTTATAATAACCTATATTATATTAAAATATAACATAGGAGGTACCCGCCTCCTACTTCAACATTTCAATAATATTGAGATTTACTTTAAACAATAATATTAATTACAGCACCAATTATTATTTACTTTGTTCCAAGCACTTTTCACATACTTTAAATATTTACTATAATTCTGTGGGGTAGAACCAACCTCATCTTAGAGATAAGACAATTGAGGCAAAGAGTTTCATCCAAAGTCACTTTGGCTACAAAATCTGCATTCTTTCTAAGACTCTCCTCTATTTAAGCACAAAACACAGGCCCTGGAGAAGATCCAACAATGAGCCTATCCATTTTAATTTTCTAATTTGAAGGGAGTGGGAATGAGGGAATATACCAAAATTTCCAGGAGCTGGCAGTGCTTACGTACTTCAAGAGAACTGTACAGAGGTCAGTAAGTTAAAATATAAATCCGAGAGACCCAGCACCCTCCCATTCTTCCTACTGCTGGGAGGAAAGATGGGTTCCAGAACAGAACAGAGAGCACCAAAGTGGTCAATGCACAACACTCTCAATAGAAGCTCAGCCAGTACCCATATTCCCAAGTATATGAATTTTTAACCTAAATTCACACTCAGAGAGAATTTTTAAAAACGAAGTAAAATTTCCCAGGGTGAGCCCCGCTGAGGTGCAGCCAGAAACGCCCCAGAGTCTATGAGCCCTTAAAACATACACACACCTGTTTTTCATAGAATGCTGGCTCCTCAGCAATAGGAGTGGCTGAGTATAATCTGCTATCTCTAGTGAAGATAAGTTTGTAGCCATTGAAATCCTGGTTTTAGCAAATCATCTATACATTATGACCATGTCCATTATGTCTTCTAACACATAGCCTTGAAATTGTTGTTGCTGATATCACCAGTGATCTTCATATTGCTAAATACAGTGGTCACTTCTGGCCCTCATCTTGCCAGACCCCTCAGCAGCATGTGACATAGCTGTCCACTCGTTCTTTTTGGAAGCCGTCTTTCCTGGCTTCTGACACCACATTCCTCTGTATTTCTCCTGTTCTGAGACCCTCAAGCATTGAATATCTCACTGGCAGAGCTCAGTTCTAGGTACTCTTGTTCTCTCTACAATCAGTTTTTTCAAGGTTTTTTTTTCATCTGTTCCTGCTATAGTTGGAATGTACCCCTTCCAAAATTCAGGTGTTACCAATGTCACAGTATTAAGAGGTAGAGCATTTAAGAAGTGATTAGGCCATGAGGGCACCTTTCTCATGAATGGAATGAAGGCCCTTATGAAAGAGGCTTCATATGGCATTTGGCCATCCTTTGCCCTTCTGCTTTCCACCATTCCACCATGTGAGGAAACAGCAAAAGTGCCCTCACCAGATGCCAGTGCCTTGATCTTGGGCTTCCCAGGCTTCAGAGCTGTAAGAAAATAAATTTCTCTTCTTTTTAAATTACCTGGTCTCAGGTATTGCATTGTAGCAGCACAAAACAGACCAGGATAATTTCTTTGGCTTTAAATCCCATCTACATGATAATTTCCAAAGGTATATCATCAGCCCCTGGACTCATTTCTAAGTAAAGACTCATGTATACAACTGCTTTCTTAACTTAAATATATTCCTCAAAAGTATCATCCAAACATAAACTAATTATTTTATATCACAAACATCACCCGAATACTGGTGCTTAACAGGTCTACTTCTTGTCAATAAATGCTACCACTATTCACTTGATTTATCAGGCCATAAACGAAAGTCATCAAACTCAAGTCTTTCTTTTTAATCTGCCAACTCCTATTCATTACTACCTCATAAGTTATCGATTGTAACTCCAAAACATGGCTCACAGCTGTTTACTTCTCTCCATAGCTCCTATCATCAGCCTAATTCAAGCTTTTCGTTCCTCTCATGGTCTACCCCAAGGGCCTCCCAACTTACATCTCTGCTTCTTCTCTTGTTCTCCTTCCAATTCATCTTCTATATGATATCCAGAGTGATCTTCTGAATAATATAAACATGGCCATGTCATTTCACCAGCCTGAAAAATTTTAATGGCTTCCCATAGTGCTTATAATAAAATCTCTTTTCTTTGGTCAACAATACCTGGCTCCTATCTTCCTCTCTAACTTCATCACAGGGAGTATCCCTTCTTTCTCTCTGTTCCAGCCTCCCAGCCTTCTTGTAGGCCCTTTACATACCAAACCCCTTCCCACCTCATGGCCTTTGCACCTGCTATTTCCTCTTACCAAAATATTCTTAACCCCATTCTCGAATGGCTAACTTTTTCTCATCCATTAAGCCTCTATTTAAATGTCAGCACTCCAGCTCTAAACATCAATCTGAAAGTGATGTTTTATTTTGTTTTGTTTTTTTGAGACAAAGTCTTGCTTTGTCACCCAGGCTGAAGTGCAGTGGCATGATCTTGGCTCATTGCAGCCTCTGCCTCCCAGGTTCAAGCGATTCTCCTGCCTCAGCCTCCTGAGTAGCTGGGATTACAGGCATGCATGCCACAATGCCTGGCTAATTTTTGTATTTTTAGTAGAGACAGGGTTTTACCATGTTGGTTAGGCTGGTCTTCAACTCCTCATCCGCATACCTCAGCCTGAGGTTACAGTTCTGAGGTTACAGGTGTGAGGCACTGAGCCCAGCCAGGTCCTCTATTCTTAAAGTTAGTCTCTCTAACAGCACCTGTTTTCCCCTTAATAAAACTTATATTTTAGAACTGTACATTTAAGTGCTTATGTTTCCCCCACTAGACAGTAAGTTTCATGAAGAAACAGGACACAGATATGTTTCATTTACGCCTGAATAAAATTGAACAAATGGTTAAATAAGGGAGATCTGAGATGTATTGTTCAGAAAAAAATCAAGGAATTTTGGTAAATGTATAATATAATACCAATTTGATTAAAACATAAGCATATATGTGCATATATATATATATATATATATATATAGAGAGAGAGAGAGAGAGATAAAAATAGAATACGGTATACCAGAATGTGACAATTATTTAATTTTTAAAAAATGTATTATACATTTCTGGGTTTTCCCAATTACTTGCAATGAGTACAATTTACTTTTAAAATCAGAAACAAACTTTCAGCCAATGTTCCCGTTTTTAATTCATTTTATTATAAAAAGTGAAAACTAGAAATAATCAGAAATCTACAGATATGTTATGGCTAGTTCAGCTCATGAGAAATATGTTGGTTATTTCCCAGAGACTGTAATATACTACCTATCAACCAAGTGATTATTATTTTTGACTTGAAATACAATTTATATCTTAGCTAATATCTTACACTACTCAATAAATATTTCTAATTCTTTGGAAAATGTGAATTTGTATATCATTCTATGCCCATCAGAGAGGTGTAAAATTTTGAGAAAAGACAATTATTAATAATATTTGTTGATGTTATACACCCACAAACAGCTATATTTTAAAAGAATTTAACTTGTGTCCTAAAAAGTTGTGTTCTGAATATCAATAATACTAGATTATCAAAAGTACCTGTGAACCTAATTACAATAGCCTCTGGCACAGTGTACATATACAAATATGTGGACAGCCAAGCACTTTTACATAATGATACTGTATTAAGTTTTCATAGTCTTATAATTAAAAAACTATTAATTCACCAAGTATGAAAATTTCAGTTATTTGAAAAAAAAAAGTATGTTAACTTAAATTTGTTAAAACCATAAAACACTTTTCCCTTTAAAACTCCAAGCAAAAAAAGAAAAACAGCTCACAATCAATTCTTTCAAAGTTTTCCTTTGTCTTATGCTTGAGCTAATCGGATAAATAGCTACTTTTCCAATTTAGGAACAAATCTTGCAGAAAATGATAGAATAGAAATACTCCTCATTTCCAAATCAG